ATAATACCGAAAACCGTGATAATTTTGGTCACAATAACCATGAAGTTAAATTTTCACACCGTGACAACCCTACGTGAGACCCATATCCCTCCCTCCAACCTAAAATCCCAAGCACAAGTTGCTTCACAAACACATAAAAAATAAAAAAATAAAGATCATAATGGGAGCAAATGTTAATAGCTTTAACTGTTTTTATTGTATGATTAAATAGTAAATATTAATGTGAATGATTTGTTTTACTAGATTAGAATCTAGACCATCTTTTCACCTAATCTACAGGATGGCTTGGCAGGCTAATGTCGGACCTTTGTTTGCAGAAAATTATTAATTGAACCAAAATTGTAATTTCTGCTAGAAAAATTGCAATTCAGTGTTTTGCTAAAATCGTGCAGCCCTGGGCTTAGAGTAGATCCACTGCTTCTCCACATTGAGAGGAGCCAGTTGAGGTGGCTCAGGCATCTGGTCAGGATGCCTCCTGGATGCCTTCCTGGTGAAGTTTTCTGGGCACGTCCAACTGGGAGGAGACCCAAGGGAAGACTCCGGACACGCTGGAGGGACTATGTCTCTTGGCTGGTCAGGGAAAACCTTGGGATCCCCACGGAGGAGCTTGCACAAGTAGCTGCGGAGTGGGAAATCTGGGCTTTTCGACTTAGGCTGCTGCCCCTGCGACCTGACTTCGGATAATCGGTTGAAAATGGATGGATGGATTTTGTCTACAAACGTGGAAGTGAAATTCATCTTGCAATGCATGTTTTCTGCTTTTTAGAAAAGAAAATCATGTTTTATTTAATACTGAGAACTGCTGGGTGGGCAAGATTATAAAAGGGCAGACAGGATATTTTTTTACTCCTCCGCTGTGAGGAAATTAGTGTGTCTTGTGGTTTGGAGTATTTGTTGTCAGCATTTTCCTAAGCGGCCATGACCCCAGTGTTTCTTGTCTTTTTCCCTCTACCTGTGTGAAAGGATACTGGACAGATATTATGGAGTTCTGTTTCGGAGATTATGCTCTGACTCCACAGAATATTTGTTCAAGCGTTTGAATATTTCCTCGCTTCTACAGATCCAGAGAATCCCTTTTACAGAGGTTATTGTATCCAAGCATCACAACACCTATAAATATTCAACACACTGAGTTGTAGGTAATCTTTTCTTTTCTTTTTTTGTGGGGTAACCTTCGACATTAACGCTGTAGCACCCACAAACACAAACTACAGAAGATTTGTGTCCGCTTCTTTGTGGCTGGGTTTAGACTCATCACTGTCAGGCCAGCGAAATTCAATTCAAAGATACTTTATTAATCCAAAAGTGGCCATCCTCGGCTGTCACGCGCCGCTCATTCTGACATTTAAATAACCATGCAGAGCTTCATCAGTCTTACCAAGAAAAGCTGCATATATTTCTGTCTGTAAATAGGACATGCATAAGTGTGTGTGTGTGTGTGTGTGTGTGTGTATCATTTTTACACATGAACCTACTGTAAAATGGCTAAACCATTTCTTTAAAGAGGAAATCTATCTGGAAATATCCATCAATATTGTTGAAAATGAATAAAATTATGTCCAGTTGCAGAAAATTTATTGGCGGCTTTTTACCATATAACCTTAAAAATCGGGTCTAGACCCAAAGGAAGTGGGTGTAACGTCTTTGGGGGACAACATTTTAGAGGCCATGTTTCCTTCTGGCCGGCTCGGGGTCCTGCGCCTGTCGATGATGCCACACTAGATGACTGGCAGGATGTACGACTTATGGAAGTTGCATTACCACATTCAAAAACATTTAGGCAGTAAGAAACATTCATTTAATTTAAAAACTGCTAAACTCTTTCCAAAACCTATGTGAAAGAACAGAAAGGAAAAAGAGACGCAATATATTTTGGCTGAGTGGTATTGCTGTATTATGATGATGTCATCGGCAGGCGCAGGATCTCGAGGAGATCCGGAAAGCACCAGTGGTTGCATGCTCTCTGCTCTACAGGTAACAACATTTACCATAATGTTTTTTCAAACTAGCGACACTCGGCGATATGGTGTAAAACTAACCTGAAGTGTATGCACTGACCACTAGCACCAGGAAACTACACACTGCCACTTCAAGGGAATAACAGCTGCATTTTTATTTCAGCATCTTCAGGGTTTTGGTTGGAGGTGCAACCAAAGCCTTTGATTTACAGAACTCCTTTTAGCAACAATAGCCCCCAACGTCTTCTTTCCAGTCGTGGATGGAGCTTGCTGTTTCTCCTGGCTGATCTGATTCTGTTCAGTTATATTAGTGGAATGCCTTTGCTAACCGAGATACTGTATTGTGTTCAAATCTGAGCCCCTAATGATGATTTTTTTTTTAGATCCCCTTGGGAATTTACTTTGAGATTTATGCACAAGATCATGACGGGCGCAGCTGTCCAAGCAGGCAGCAAACGAATCAAAAAAGGCCCGGTTCTTACAGTTTCTTACAGTGCAACTTCAAAATTAGTTCAGAAATTTTCTAAACACACGTGTTGATAACATAAATAACAAATAAAACCTTTTGTGTGGTGTGCAGCCTCATTGCAAATATAACACACTACATGCAACCTGTTTTCACTCAAAACATTCCTAAAGCTCATAAAACCACTTGAGATCGCCATTGGATACGTAATCCCCTCTCTGCGAACCGCGCTTCCTCCACTTCACTTTCTGACATCACATTCAACGGGATGCATGCCGATTTGTCCTTGGGGCACACTACGCATTCTGCGATACTGGGTCATGACAATCCAACGTGTTAAATCTCCCCGATTTCTGATTGGAGCGTTCCCAACGGGTTTCCAAGAAGACCAGAGTACTCCTAACACACCTAACAAAGCAGGAATAGCTGATAGGATTATCCTTCGGCAATCGGACGCATTCCTAAAATTGTTGGAGGAAGAATCGTATCAAAAATCGGCAGCATCTTGCCATTTCAGCCTGGCCTGACTTGTTGCTGTTGTTTATTTCAGGTTTACGATTTATTTCTTAACCTGTCCTGTCCTGGCAGCTGAAGCAGACAGAATGGTTGATCCGGGTGCCATAACATGCCAGAGCAGTTTTACTCTATAGCAAGAAGGATGTGGGAAATTCCTCCTGTTGCGCAGTGAATGTTATTCACTTACACTTCAATTATTGTTCAGTGGTATTGTCCACATTTATAGTTGTGTGTGTGTGTGTGTGTGTGTGTGTGTGTGTGTGTGTGTGTGTGTGTGTGTGTGTGTGTGTGTGTGTGTGTGTGTGTGTGTGTGTGTGTGTGTGTGTGTGCCATGGTGTGTGCGTGTGCGTGTGTGTGTGTGTGTGCCATGGTGTGTGTGTGTGTGTGTGTGTGTGTGTGTGTGTGTGTGTGTGTGTGTGTGTGTGTGTGTGTGTGTGTGTGTGTGTGTGTGTGTGTGTGTGTGCGTGTGTGTGTGTGTGTGGATTGGAGGTTGGAGATCGCTCACTGGGAGTGGGGCCGGGTTGGCTTGGTTGTCACATGCTGGCTGTCCCTCACGGGGCATTGGGGTGGGCGCTTGGGGTTGCCTTGATCTGGGCCTGGCCTGTATTGGTAGGGGCGACATTGGGCTGGGAGCTCCAGGCTTGGTGGCCTCAAATGGGTTCCCTTTGGCTGGGGGCTGATGCCCTGATGTCCTCTGGCTGCCCCCACCCCTCTTCCCTGGGCTCAAGTCTGTCCTCTGGGTTGATTTATTTGTGTCCTTCTGCTGCTGGGGCATGCGGGGCCCCAGACTCTGGTGCGGGTAGGACCTGGGCTCTGGGTTGGCTTGTTGGTGTGGCGCAGATGGGACCTGGGCTTTGGTCATACACAACATTTAAAAACAAAACAACGCTCTTGGTGACAAATCCACTTTCACAAACACTTAGCGATTCACATAAACAGTTTAGACCTGCACACATAGGTAACCACATAAACACACACACGTGAACAAATTCTATTTCAGTTTTATGATAATGATGTTTATTCTGGCATGTCGTTTTTAAGCCATATGTGGTGCTGCATGCTCCTGACAGACAGCTCAGAGTTTATCCAAAAAAAAAAAGGTTTTCACAGTGAAAGGGCTCTCCTTTGGCCTTCCATGATTGCTTTTGGAAAGCAGCAGCTTCCTTCATGGCAGGACATATCGTTCGTTCCGTAATCTGCCTGTGGGAGGCTTCATATTCCATCACGATGCTTTGTGCTACTAGAGTCACCTTAGTGAGGCACCCACTTCTAATTTAAGAAGCCACAGTACTGAATGTTTTCACTTTATAGAAGTAGAATGCACAGCAAGTCCGTGACTGTGGATTGCATGACCACTCTGAAAAGTAGAAAATGTGGGGTGGGGGGTGGTTTGAGCTGTAAGCTCTACGAAGTTTTTTTTATTTTTACCTTTTTCTTTTTAACTTTAAATATAACTTTTAGGTTTATATCTGAGGACGTGTATTAAAATATAAAACAACAAGAGTTTCAAGAAAAAATAATTAAATGTCTTTTTCCTGATTACGGTTTGCTGAAAGGCGACTGAAAATGTTAAGATCGTGTTTGACAGAGATACCAGACTGCTTAATAACCGCATTCTTTTTAGCTATATCAGGCTTTAATTGTTATTGCTTTTATTGCATGTTAAATTTAACACATTTCCAGGTTGTCTGGGTGGTTTAAAATTCATCCACCACTGCAGAGCTCTACGCCCAGCTGCTCGCCTCTGGCTTTTTTATTAAACCTATTTGGGGTTCAAGAGTAAACTGGCATAAAATCATGGTCCTCTGTCAATATTACAGACAGGATTCATTTAAGCCCTCTAGTGCTGATGTGGGTTTTCATTTTTAACTTGGTACCATGTTTTAGAACGATTTAAAAGAATGGTTTCACATGGAGATCCTTCAGGTATTTTCTGTTTATTATAAAATATTCAGACTCTACGGCTCCTCACGATTAGTTTGTTATTTTGAATATATTCAGTAATTCTATTGTAGATATTTCTTTATGTGCCTCACCTTCTTGCACCTCATCTCTTGTAGTCTCGGGAACCCCTCGCTCTGGCCGACCTGAAAGCTGAATTTTCTCCCAGGATCTCAGCTGAAGACCTCATCGACCTCTGTGAACTCTCGGTTGCCGGACCCTCCAAAAGAAACAAGGGCGGCAAGCCAAAGATCATTGCTGTTGACATCCGCAGTATGGAGGAGTATCCTTAACATGTCTGTTAAATTAACTACCAGTCACTTTTTGTCTTTTAGCTGTTTCACACCCTGCCCTTCAATTGGGCTGTTTGCTTTAGTTGAAACATGTATAAAGAATGACCGTCACACAAGTCTTTGACAGTCCGGGATGATAGCTCAAGCTCAGAGCAGTTCAGCAGCATGACTGTTGGGTCCTGTTTCCTCAAGCCTCTCTAGGCTTCTCTTTGATTCTAACCTTCACAGATGTAGCCAGTTAAAGTAGTCAGGACACCGTTCTCCACAAAGGCTCTCATACTGCCATGCAGAGATCATGGTGTTATAACTCATGGCCATTCTCAGACCTGGAGGACAAAGCATGAAGGTAAAATAAAGTACAAGTAAAGAGCATTTCTACAAACCGTTAGGCCACCATACTATACCATTCCATACGATACCAAACCATACCGTACCATACCATACCATTCCATACGATACCAAACCATACCATACCATACCATACGATACCAAACCATACCGTACCATACTATACCATTCCATACGATACCAAACCATACCATACCATACCATACCATTCCATACGATACCAAACCATACCGTACCATACCATTCCATTCCATACGATACCAAACCATACCATACCACACCATTCCATACGATACCAAACCATACCATACCATACCATTCCATACGATACCAAACCATACCGTACCATACCATACCATTCCATATGATACCAAACCATACCATACCATTAAATTTGATACCATACACAGTGTTGTGGCCGAATGCGTTCATGAATTTGTTTGTTTTTTATTTTTTATTTTTGTGAACGTGAACTAAACTTGTTCGTATTTTGCCTGACGAACGTAAAAGTGAGTTTGTTCGTTTTGGCTTGCGTGAATGGGTTTATGAACGCGTTCTTTCGCCGTTCTAGCTCCAGATCTCCACGGAGCTTTTCCGGAGCTAAAGCCTAGCTAAAACATTCTATTAACCATAGAGTTTATAGAAAGTAGAACCTGCAAATGCGGCCAAACAGGCAGTAGTGGTTGGTGTGGTGTCTACACTTTTATGTCTATGCTGTGTGGAGGATGGAAGTCATGGAGTCGCACCACTCATACGTCATCAGATTGCGAAGCATGGAGGAAAATTCCAGCGAATGCAGCGGGAATAGCAATACGTTTGCATCAATGGTTAGCCCAAGATTTTCATATGGCCACATGAAAGAGATTTTTGAAAAGGTTTGTGATGATCCAGGTGGGAAAAATCTTACATTGTTGTGCAAACTTTGCCCGCTTTGTTTTATACTTATTCAAGCACTTTATGACTCAAGTTCTTGAACTTTTCATTTTCTTTAGATAAACAAGTCAAAGTTCATTCAGAAAAATTGAAAAGGGACTTAACTGAAAGATTATACCTTTTTTAATGTTTTGCACTTTTAATATTGCACTTTGAGTTTGCTACTTCAGCCTGCTTCCTAAGATTGTTTAATAATTTCCAATTTAAAAAAAACTGTTCAAATTATATTTTCCTCATGTTATTGAGAATATATTGTAGGGTAAAAACTGCAGCTGGGTATGAGTGTGGACTTGGGTGCCAACTATTGGAAAATTATTTAATAAGTTTATATATATATATATATATATATATATATACGTATATGTATGTATATATATATATATATATATACGTGTATGTATGTATATATATACGTATGTGTATATATATATATATATATATATATATATATATATATATATATATATATATATATATATACTGTCCATATGTACATAGAGCTGCAGAACTGTACCCCCCCTCCCCAGTATGTTTTTTCCACTGTGTAGGAGATGCTCTGTATCTCACTTTACATCTGTATAGTGACAATAAAGGCATTCTATTCTACACTATATATATATATATATATATATATATATATATATATATATATATATATAGGGAAAAAGTCATTTTGAACTAGTTCGTTCTTTGAACAGTGAACTTAGTTCAAATTTTTGTAATTATGAACTAAGAAACAAACTAGTTTGTTTTAAAATGTATGAACTGAACTTCAAACTAGTTCGTTTTTTTAAACAAATTTTCTCAACACTGACCATACTATTCCATATGATACCACACCATATCATATCGTAAGCTTACCTCAGTAATTGTAATTGAGTAAATGTAAGGTACCCACCTCTGCTAGCTTAAGGGCACACTCGACATTGAGATTGAGTGTGCCCATAAGTTATGTCTTGTTTACAAATCTATTTCAATAACATACCTCAAGTCTTGATACTGTATTTATCATATTTAATATTCTAATCAGTGAAAATGAGAAAAAAGTACTGAAGTTGTCCATCTAAGGGGCGTGTGGCTACAATGGAGGATGATCCATCAGACATTTAGCCATGAAGTGTTCAGTTTAAGATGTTCTTGAGATGTTCAGCTCTTAAAACATTAGCGCTTATAATTTAGAGTTTATTACATTTTCTTTATCTTGGGGTGTATTTAAGTTTCAATTTGAGCTAATTGAAGCAAATTAAACACTTTTTCATTAAGTTCCCTGTCTTGCACAATTCTGCTACAAATAAAAAAAACTATGTTTACTATTTTATTAGTTAATCATTTAAAAGTCAATATTGTCTATATGGACAGTGGTTTGAAAAAGTGAACCTATAAAACTGAAATGTCGACTGTGATGTGGTTAAGTATGTGGGTGCCCATAACTTTTGCACTGGTGCACCTAAGAAAAATAGTTAGGAGTACCAGTGCAACAGGTTAGTCTGGAGCCCTTTATGTATAAACTTTGTACGTGCATTCACCACTTGAACTGCTCAGAACCTCGCATGACGACTTAAAGTCTCTTTTTCTGGAAATTATATTTGTTTGGTTCCTTGGTTTTTGGTAATTCCTTGTTTAAACAAATTAAAAATCTCAAATTTCATATTTTTGTCACAATCTGAACACATTTTGCCGGTTATAGCTACTCATAAGTTTGCAGCAAAAGGGAGTCTCAAGCATTTATCCCAGTAGAACAGGGACTAAGAAGTCAGTCGTTCATTAGTCAGGATTAGTGGGTAGAGAGACCTGCAGGAGTATAGGAAAATGCTTTTTTCATGGCAGGGATTTAACAACCCTTGTTCACCTCTGTAGAAGCTTAGGCAAAGCTCTGTTTGGGGTGATTTTGGTCACAAAAAGTAGATTAAAGGAAATTCTTTGTTGGATAACTCTAGATGTATCTGTTTAGGTACTTAAAACCAATTTTCTATACTAAAAACACCAAAAGTACCAAAATAAATGAAAGACTAAAACTATAGAACTTTTTCACAATATTCTGATTATCAATATGCACCTGTATACTTTTTCATTATACTGCACATATTTTCTGTACCTGTTTACCGCCATCCTCCTTAACACCATTGCCTCCAGCTTTAGTAGAGGTCATGTTTCAGGCAGCGTCAACGTTCCCTTCAACAGTGTGTTTAACTCTGATGGAGAGCTGGTGCAGTGTCCGGCATCAGGAGTCCTCCAGAACTACAGAGGGCGCGTCATTGTGATCATCAGCCATGCTGTGAAGAGCGCCGTCATGGTGAGAAAGCTGACCCTCACACAAACTCATTGTCACAATTTTCTCTAGATGCACTGAGAAATATTACTTCATAATAAATGTTAGGTAAAACGCATGACCTCATTAAAAAACTACTTCATATTTCAATATTTTTGTTATTTATTGAATTATTTCAGACAGCAGTTAGTTGTAATTTAATATAGGGGTAATTGAGGAGGATTAGAATTAAATGCTTTGAATGGGAAAACAGGAAATAATTAACCCAACAGGACAAAATTTTTATATCATCATAAGCCACTTATTTTTAGTTTTTGTAAAAGTATAATAAAAATCATGGATGCTCCATTTCTGTCAGATGAAGAAGCTGTAGAATCCTCTGAGATTTTAGAAAACAAAAATAAGTTTGTTCCTTTTGAAGATTATCAACAACAAACTTTTCAACCTCTCATTAAAAACTTTTCTTTTCTGCTCTCTTTGGAATACATTCGCTTAAGTTGAGTTTAATAACTGTCGGGAAATTCAGCAGCTTCAGGAACTGTTAGTTTCACTTGCAGGATAAATGTGAAAATAGTCTTCTACTCCTGTTTCCTGCTTTAGGGACCATTGGAAAATAGATGGGGAAATGCTCGGATTATAAAAGCCACACGGATCTACATCACACTGTCACTTCACATTCATGGACTCACCTATCTTGCCTCACGACGGGGAAGATTGTTAATGATTTAGCGTCCAGGAGAGAGCAGAGCGTGCTTGGGCTAGCAGAAGCTAACTGTTAGCATTAGCAACTCCACAACATGGCAGAACTCCTCCAGGCATGTGTTATTTGTGGAGATAAAACATTGTAAAGTAAACAGAGTCGGTAGTAGAGTTGCGTTGCTGTTAGCCAATCGGAGGCAAGATGTCTGAATATCAGGAAACACGAGACCAAAACCTGCCGTGTTCAGCTCAGCTCAGCTGTGGCTCACTTCGAGTTCCTGAAACAGGAGTGCCAGAGCTTTTCCCCCACAGAGATGACTCACAAGGCATTAATTTGTTCTAGAGACCACTGCATATGTATTGAAACAAGTGAACTTAGTCTTTAACAAAAGAAACAAGTTAGAAATATTTCAAATGTTGTATGTGGATTCCATTTTTGAACCTTTTAGGGAAATGTGTTTTTGAAACAATATTTATAAAAAGCCAATTGTATCAACTTTTTAAGCAGGCCTTTATAAGTACGTTAACTTCTCTGAAGGTATAATGTTGTTTCTCTTAAAGTTGTGGCTGCTTTTTTTAGCCCACACACTGCCCATGTCATCATGGCGATGTACAACACATGGATAAAAAGTGGGTGGGAAAGGAAGGAAAAGTCCAAATTAAAAGGAAGTTAATGATGAAATAGAGAAATGCAGTTTATTTGGTCTTTACTATACATCCTCTCTGGTCTTAAAACACCTGGAGATGGATGGATTTAACCTTTAATCTGAGTATTCTTGTACAGTTAGTACAAGACTGTAGTTTTGTTGCATCTTTGAAAAACACATCTATGTGATATGAATATTAAAACAACATAGCCAAGAAAATTCCTGATTCCTGACTCCGTTATATAACATTCCTCCATGCAGCAGAAGATATTTTGAGTTTCTCTCATCTTTTTCTCTTTCTTGCCAGTTTGCTGCACATCTGGTCAAGGTGAATATGTCACGTGTTTGCATCCTAGATGGAGGGATCAGCAGGCTGAATCCCACTGGACTCCTGACTGTCCCGTCCCCTCAGATCTAATCCTGTTCCACGGTTTCATCCTAACAAGGACATACTGTGAAAAATGATAATTATGTAACAGAAAGATGTCAATAAACAAATAACATCATTGTGTTATTTATTCAGTATCATATGTGTCACTTTGATTTCCTTTTCGTTGTTTATTAACACAATAATGAAATAGTTTTTTAAACTTTTGTGTTTCTGGTGAAATCCTCTGTAAAAAAAAAGTTTGTGGGAATCAATTAAACAAAAACAGACGGTCTTTTTTATGTTATTAGCATTTGTATGTTTTCCTGTTGAACAGGCAATATTTTATTACTGGTTTGGGATACTTTTCAGGCTTTTAAACATTATTCCCTTAATTATTTGTCGAATGTGATTTGATATGTTTCTGCGGAAAAGCAACACATCAGATTATAATTTTGTCATTGGGCCATTTTCCTTTGATGTTTTGGGTGAAAATGCTCAAGATGTTTTGGAATTTATCCCCAAAAGTGTAAATTAGTGACAAGATTCTGTCACTGTGTTGTTATTCTGAGATGAGATGGGATGCAGCCTTTCTCCAGAAGAGCTTCTTCAGTATTAGAGGATGTAAAAGAATAATATAGATTAACTTTTTTTCCCTGTGTTGTGTCCGGCTGGAAAACAATTGGAATTGATGTCTGAGTGGCAAAAACAAGCCTTCAAGTTTTACTCTCAAAGGTGAAGTGATATAGATTCAGCTATAATGCATTGCCTGATATAAAAACCTTATAGGAAAGACTGTTATTTTTAATCCCAACGAGCACAGAGATAGAAATGAAAGAGAGAGGGAGAGGACAGGAAAGGAAGAGGTGAGGGCGAAAGTGTTCAGAAAAATAAACAATTCTGCTTCTAGACCTGCAGGAAGAGAAAAAAAAGGGACACACAAAAATACAACAGTAATGATGTTTGCTGAAAAGCCCATGGGAATAATTAATTCTTGGTGCATTTAGTGCCAACCACAGCCCAAGGAAATGTGTCACAAAACACCTGAGTCTATACTTGTGAGAGCACCATGAGAGCACCTGTGTGTGTACACGCGCTTGTGTATGTAAGTATGGTTTCTCCATAGGAGTGTCCAGTAGTGAGTGTAAGGGGCCACAGACCTGCCACCCAGGACCCATGGAAAACATGGAGGCGATCCAATCCCCAGACAACCAGAGATCCCCCAGAAGTAAAACAACCCCAGGAAGGCTGCCTCACATTGTTGCTGTAGCTGTAGCTGTGGTCTGGTTGTGCTGGTTAACATGGAGGAATGAATTGCCAGTTTGATGTTCATGATTTTCTCATTGAAAAGGGATTAGGCTTAGATTGGGATATGAAAGGGGGGTTAGTGTGTTGGGATTAGTTATCACTAATAACTTTGAGGAAAAAGGCTTGTCTCGCCTTATTTAATTCAGAATTGTAAGTGTGAAGCTGCGTTCTGAAGGTCTCGTAAAGCACTTTCACATCTGGGTCGGTACGGACTAGCCCTAGTTGGGTATATTGTGTTCACATCTGGGTAGCCTGTGCGTTTCCATGCTCAACCGACCATTTTTTTCAGACCTGTTCCATCGGTGGTCTACTTTTGGCTTAATTGACCCAACACATTGACTGGCAACTGATTGGCCAGCTGAAATTCATGCCTACCTTTAGGAAGAGCCTCCGATAGGTGGGTAGAATCGGCCAGCAGGCACTTCCCGCATGTGTGATTCATCATCATTCTGGATGCTGGGGAGTTAACATCTCCTGTGACAGCAGTTTGGAGCTGCCACTCCAGCGCGAGGGCAGACTGCTAAGAGCACATATAGCACTTTAACTGGGAGAGAGAGCAGGAAGCAGTGTGCTTGAGTCTCCAAAAGAAGCAATGCTCATGGTTGCCTTTGTTGACTAACATAAGGAGGACACCACAAACTTCTCTGTGCATCTTTTGTCCCGTCCACGTGTTTGGAGATTTCCGAGTTCCTGAGAAGGCTGTGTGAATAAAACCTATGTGGGGCAGGGCCGACGCTACCAAGGCCAGGCTGGACTGGGCCAGATGTGAAAACGCCATTAGTGACCTGGAAGGTTACTTTTCCTCCATTTGCACTCCCTTTTCTGAATGGTAACGGATTTAGTGAATCTTTATGAAGCTTTTTGTTTGCCAGATACAATTTTGACCTTTGCCTTTGTGTGCGTGCTGCTGTATCATAAGAATTTCCCCACTGTGGGATCAATAACGTCTATTCTATATATTCTATGTGGGTGCAATGGTGTCAAGGATTTAGAATTTAGCATCTTTTCTATGATCATTTAATCCATTTTAACAGTTTAAAGCAATCTGCAGTTAGATCAGTAAACTTCTCATTGACAATAATCAGCAAGTACTCTGTTGGAGTATGTGAAGTGATTTATGTCTTCAGCTCTCTCTCTTCCCAATTTCCTGCACTGCTGATCAAGGTGAACACTTCATGTTTGTATCTTAGACAAAGAAATCCGCAGGTTATAGCCCACCTGACTCCAATCTGATTCTGTCCCTCAGTTATAGCAATAAAAAAGGACAAGGTCAGAAAACTGATCATTAAACTTTTGACTAATTGGCAAAATGAACTGAACTCAATGCACGATAAGTTGGTTCAATTGGAATGCTTATTTTCTGATGTGTCTTGTGATTTGGCGCTACATAAATAAATGGAATTTAATTGAAATGTACCAAATATTGAGAAAATATGATTGAACAAAATAAATCACTGTATTATAAAAAGTGTCAAAATTCTTATAGCTGTTCTATTTTTGTGTGTTTTATTGGATGATGATTCTTTTATAAAAAATTTTTTTAAATAATTTGTGTTACAAGTGCTCTAAAGTGACAAAAATGTTATAAAAATTGCTTTCTGTGAAAAATACTTTGTGACTTTTGTGATTTTGCAATATGCATACTGCATCTTTGCGCTTTGACATTTAAAATGAGAAGTTGATCAATTCTGTCATTTGCCACCATAACTGTTGTGATTCTTTCACGGCACACAGTGGATAAAGGAGAAACCGTGAAGGTGTGATGCAGAGATACAGCAGGTCTCCAGGAAAGCGTCTTGGTCTTTTTAACCAACGTATGAAACATTTTAATTTGGCCCGTCTCTTTCATACCAGTAATTTGGTTTGCCTTCATCTCAACCTGTGCTGATAACACAGTTCTCTCTTCCCACCATCAGATGTGATCCATGTTTAGGAGTGAATATGGTTACATCTGAACTAACTGTGTGTGTTCACTACTTTAAAGTGACAGTGTGTATTTTTTCTGGCGACGAGGGCAGTAGATGCCTAAATCGTTGCAGGCAAGCAGTATCTTTGTGTTGGAGTAAGACCTTACCAACGAATGCCCATTAGGGTCAAAAAGCCCTAGGGAATGCAAATTTTAGCAAAATAACAAGTATCCCTTTCATCACTGGCAACAAGTGAATAGGTAAATGTGTAAAACAACAACATTTATGAATGGTGAAAGTGTAAGTAAGTAAATGCAGTTTGTCTTCATAGGCCCCCGTAGAAGGAAACATGGCATCTAATATGGCGTCGCCCAGAGAGTTAGACCCGCTCCCATATATTTTAGACCCGATTTTTTATGGTTATATGTTATGAAGCCACCAACATTTTTCAACAACTGGGCATCATTTCATTCATTTTCAACAACATTTTGATGGGTATTTACAGAAATTAATGGTAAAAACTACACATTGTTTCTTTAAATATTGTCCACATTAAGTTGGTGAGGACAGATGGGGCAAGAGGACTTCGGTTGCGGCGATTTCATCCTTTATTAAAGGAGCGGTAAGTTCACAATCTCCATCAATAACATAGTAATGGCACTCTTTACTGACGGGAAACAAGGATGAAGCATTTTTGTTATGTCTTTTTCTTTATTTGGTTTTAAAATGTGAAAGAAAAGTTTCTAATAATGCTTCATTCGAGCCACTTTCATAGTGATTTTAAGCTGATTCGTGAGATGCTTTAGTCTGTTAAAGACACTTATCGTCCTTGTCGTTTCTCCAGGAGACAACTTTCGCTCTGACCTGCAATGACTCCATTGGAAAAACACTGCTAATAGAGCTGGACAAACAGCCACTTCTCATTTTTCCACAAGACAACTGGTTTCCCTCCTGAAGTGGAAGTCAAGTTCCCTGAAGGAGAAACTTACAGCTTTCCCGTCTTCCGCTGGATCACTGACGTGAGGTGCATGTCTTCAGGGAGGGAACAGGTCTGTTGTAAATGTGTTCATCCAACATCCTGTATTCTCTCTATGGACCATTTAGATCCAGCAATTAAAAATTAGGGTCCAGAAATCATAATATTTGTAATTAAAAATATTTAAAAAAAAGACTGAAAGACCAAACTGCCGACTGACACACAGAGTAACTGGAAAAGACTAAACAAAAATAAAGAGATGTTGTGAAACGACTTGTTCTAGACTTGTTGTCTAGTATGAGTGTACAGAGTAAACAATAGTGGTTTTCTTTTTGTTTAGTTTTGTTTCTGGATAACTTTGTATTGCAAGAACATTTTGTTTGTTTAATAGCTTAAAGGTATTAGCCTTAGTATGGTTCTTGATGTCCTGAAACCAAAGCTAGTCTTGCGCCCTAATACTTTTAGAAATAGTAGACAAGGCTGAAAATAGGATTTGTCGCATGTTGATTTAAACAGAATATTCTGTTAATAACCAGGAAGCACACTGATTGTTTTTTACTTTTCAGCTCTGAGGTTGTTTGAGGACAACGCTCCTCTTGGCAGGTTTAGTCGGGAGCAAGAGCTTAAGCAGCGTGCTAAAGACTATTGGTAAGCTCCTACAGGTAGTACCTCGGATTTGTGCACGAAACATGTGAAAACCTTTTTCAATTGAGTATGTATGTGCAGTTTTGCATTAATTAACCAGCAGCTATCTGTCAAGATTTGTAAATTATTAATCTATAAAAAGCTGTCTGAGTAGTTGAGTGGCATATTGGGGCGGTCATGGCTCAAGAGGGCAGAATGATTACGGTTAGGTCATCCGGGCTGCAGTTTTATGTAAATGACCAGCTTGAGTACTTCATCTAGTTGGGATCAGTCAGCTTCACACACAAGCTCCAACTCCTTATGTCAGCAGTGAGGAGACACCCCACGTTCCAATAAAGCCGATGGGAATCGGCACGCTCAGGCTTTCGCCTGCTTTCAGGTACCACGTGGAAATGGGCGACCTGTGGAAACTTTGGGCTGAGGCCAGCTGAGATACAAGAGCCAAGGATTGACAAGCACCCCCTGAGTAGACTCCAGCAACGTGCCCCGGTCCACATTTCCTGGGGTAGGCAGCCTGTTTTCACTAATGGCGCTTACACATTAGCGTCGGCACGGCCCCAAAAGGTACCGAACAGCACCAGAATTTGATTTCACACACAGGTCAGATTTGCGTTTTCGGTGCCGAGGCGACTCTTTTTCTCAGACCTTCTCCCCAGCAGTCAGACTGGGAATGAGGCGACACTACGGACAGATTGGCTGGCGCGGAGCTGCCGTTCCGAAGCTGCCGATCAGTGTGGGAATGAGAGAAGAGAATAGCTCTGTGTGTGTGTGTGCGTGTGTGCGTGCGTGCGTGCTTGCGCGCCTGTTCTCCACATCGGAGCCCTTGCCCTGTCAAGCAGACAGCTGCTCAGGGGAGAAATCCGTGTGTGTGTGTTTGTGTGGCACAAGATTATGAGGACACACACAGCAAATTAATAAAATAATGTGGTTCAGAGTCTCCACTTTGAAAAATGGGACCCAATGCCTCCCTGCTTGACACTCAGCATTAAGGGGTTGGATTGGGAGGTTAAACCACCAAATGGTTCCCGAGCGCAGCTTTGTCTGCAGCTCACCGCTCCCCCAGAGGACGGGTCGAATGCGGAGAACAAATTTCCCACTCACATCAGTGTGTGTGACAACTGATGGGACTTTTAACTTTAACAAAAGCAACACAGCTCATGTCCACACTTGTTTACCTTATAATGGCGGACACCGCAGACTTTCCTGCGCCCACAGGCTCGAGGATTTCCACATTCCTGAGAAGTCCCTCGGATTTGTATGTGAACACCACACCACCCGTTCAAGACCGAACTCACGCCATCCAGCCTGACCAAACCCTGATTGTGCCGACGCTAATGTGTAAAGCCCATAAGATCCCCTGAGGCCAAAATGTCACCCTAACCATGACCTGGGGCAATGCTCACAGCAGGAGTACCCAAAGGATACTCCCTTAAAACAGTTCCTTGATAAATTACCAAAACTTTCTTTCCAATCATCAGGAATCCCAAAGAGATGTACCACTGCGGCAGAGCTGGCAAAGTTGGTTACCATGGTGATCTTCATTGGTCCACTCTGCATGCTGCTGTCAACTCTGGACGTGTGAGTCTTTATAATATACAGGTTTTTATTCAGTACGCCTAGTTTTGTCCAGCTTCTCGTTAAATAAAATGATTATTTCTAAATGGTTTATTCTTCAGTTTGACTACGGCGGCTGGATGCCAAACAATCCCCTCTCCCTGCAACTCCCCCCACCAGCCACCAAGGGAGAAGCTACGCAGGCCTCCATGGTAGCAACACAACAGTTTTGGTCATGGACACCTTGTGGCTGCTGAGCAAGCAGTCCGATAAACCTACATTCGATTTTTCATTGACATGGTGTGAAGTATAGCACACTGACATGCTGGTGCAATGAAACATTAGCATTAACAGTTATGGATGATGAATATTAGAATGCATCTGTTATTTATCTCGTCAGGTCTCTCTTGGCCAGTATCCTGAGGACAACTTCAGAGGAAGTTGCTCTTACGGTGATACAAGAGTTCCAAGGAGATTTGGTGTTGAGTACCGCCATCCAGGTCAGAAACAGCAAGCTGGAGGTGCCGTATACATGCCTGGATCCAGCTGAGGTGGAGAATACGGTGGCTGTCTGAAAAATAGATGATGGGACCTCCTCAGCTGTTATCCAGAGTCAGATTATTAAAAGTGAGCAGAGGAAGATTTTTGGTTTTAACTGATTTGATTTAATGTCACTTTTCTGACGTTGTTGTTAAGCATCTTTGTTTTTGCACATAACTCAATTAGAGAAATCAGTCCGGAGTGGTTAGTTCTCAGTGGGATGTGTGGCTGGTCCTGGGAAGGTTCAGGTAGGTGGGAAGTGTTAAACCCAAACAGGTCACTCATGTTTCAAAAGTGAACATTTTTCTCATGTTTTCATGTCTCATGTTTCTAGTCCTCTCACATTTGGCAAAATGACCTTGATAATGCAGCACAACATCATGTGACTTTTGTGTGAATTCATCTCTCCTCCCCCCTGCTGATTCCTCTGGCAATGGCCACATTTACAAATGAAGGGATGCTAATTGGAGCTATCTGAGTCATCAATGTGGACTAACCCTAACCCTAAGGGTCTTTTGACCCCGCTTCAGGGGGGATGTTGAAATTCTTGGGACTTCTTGTGTTAAAGGGCCAGAAGCAGGTTGAACTCTGCGGCTTTGTGTGTGAGTGGTTGTTTATTTTAACTGGGTTAGCTGTGCAGATAGATTAGCAGTTAGCCTTTTTTTTCTTTCAATAAAATCATCTGATTCCATTTGAATGTTGAAGTTATAAGAGTTGATTTTCCTTTATAACTCATTTCTGAGCACCATTGAACTGCCTTTTCTCTGGCCTCCTCTGCTTTAATACCCGAGTAGTTTATTCTTCCCATTCAGAATTAACTGGTTATTTCAAATAGAGGTTTTACTGCCAGAAACCATTTAAATGGAATGAGAACTGGGACTCCAGACCAGTTGTGGCCACCAGGAGCACTGGGATGTTTCCTGGTGGCCTGGCTTCCCAGTTTGTGCTTGCTTCACTTTCAACAGCTCCTGAGAAATAGATCATCGAACAGCTAAAGGCTGGTTTATGCTTGACGCGTCCGCGAGGTCCGCACGGCTCCGCGTGGAAAAGTTGCGTCATTTTAACAACCACGCCCCTCCACACGGCCCAGAATTTCTGCAACGCGCACCTCGGAAAATTTCTAACCACGCGGACGGACGAACGCGGAAAAACATGGCGGAACGGCAAGAACTAGTATGGCAGAGGTTAGTAAATACAGACATTTGTATGATTCAGCTCTCAGAGATCACCGTGATCAACATGTTGTTAATAATTCTTGGAGAGAAATAACTCGCACTGTCGGAAAAGACGAGAACACTGTTAAAAATGCTGGAATGCCATGTTGTAAACAGTAATTTCTACTTCTATGGTGTAGTGTTGGATGCATGCCGTAGAGCTCCATGCTGCCCCCTACAGTTTGGGAGAATATTGGCTCACCTCAGAGACGAGCCGCACGAACCATGAACGCTGCGAGTTGTGAAGCGCGTTCCATCCGCGAGCCGCATCACCAAGCGGAAAGTGAATGCGTCAAGCATAAACCAAGCTTTACCGTGACTAGACTGGAGACCAACATGAGGAACAAAGCTGTTGTGGCCGAGTGAGAGTCGTCCACGAAGTACTGCAGCCCTCGTTAGAACGAATAACGGGTTGGAAGCCATCAAGTTTTATCCTTGAGCATTTAGGGAATTTTATTGCAAGTCAAAAGTAAAAGTTATTTCATTTAAACTGATTTGTCATTACAACCAGTACATGCCTTATTGGCCAATAAAGTAGGCTTGTTACTCATTGTGTATTGGCGACTACTGTGTAAAGTCCAGAAATGATCATTTGACGTCTACAGACTGACCTACATGCCATCGGTCAGCTGCAGACATGAATCTGCCTTTGTGTGTCTGTTAATCTTCAAAGTTGCAGGAAGATTCGACACCGTTCACACTCAGATTGTCAAGACTTCATGTTCCTTTCTCAAGGTCCCTCTGAGCATTAATGCATTTCATTCAATAATGGAAAAAACACAATTGGGATGATAAGTTTTAATATGCAATATATTTAGTTTAAGCCATTGTTCACAAACATCTGTTTCACACTACTGAAAACTCAAATGGCCACACTGTTCTCCACCTCCACCGGATCCAGGTACACGTACGGCACCTCCAGATGTTCGTTTCTGTCTTTGATGGCTGCACTCAACACCTCAAGCTCCTTTTGAAAGCCCTTCACCATCCTCTGTGGAGACTCCTCAGTGAAGTGGTCCTCAGGGTACTGGCCAAGAGGGACCTGGTGAGATCACACACTCAGATTTCCCTCCACTTCACTTTAAATGTTCAAACAGACTTTGAACTCCACAGCTGCAGAAAATGTTATAGCTGCCCTAATAAGGCACATTACTTAGCCAACATTTCCCTGTCAAACAACACACACACACACACACGTTAATTTTGTTTTCACACTCACAAAGTCAGTGGACTGCTGGCTGAGCAGCCACAGAGTGGCCATGCCCTGAACGGTTACATTGACATCTGGGAGTGTGTTCAGCATGGTGGCCTCAGTTGTCTGTCCCTTAGTGGTTGGTGGAGGAAGTTGCAGGGAGATGGGAGTGTTTGGCATCCAGCCTCCAAAGTCGTACTGCAGAAAAAGAATGTGCTGTGTTCATTTATGCTGCTAGTGCCCTAGACCGCTATGAAATAATCTATAAAGAGGGATAGTTGAGTGGCAACATATAGATTGTGTGTATGGGAGTGCATCACGTCACAGCAGCGTAGTGTTTGTTCAGCTAAAGGATGTGATTCAGACCAGTACTGGTTATATACGGTCAACAAAAAAACTCACCTGTCCAGAGTTGACAGCTGCATGCTGGGCAGAGCCAGTGAAGATCACCATGGTAACAAACTTGATTAGTTCGGCCACTGTGGTAAATCTTTCAGGAATGCCTGATAAATAAAGTTAAGACCTTCCAACAATTAGGTGGCCCAAAGTCAGGTTTTTGTTTACACAATTATGCAGACAGAATCTGGATCCAGGTAAAGTTCAGTTTTGTTTCATAAACATCGGACAAATTTATTTATTTTTCCATTCATGTCAGGCAATAAGAATATTTAACTTTTTGTTCAAACATCTCTAATTTAAGTCCTCTTTAAATTGAGCTCAGTGCAATCTTTATAAGGAGTTACTAAAATGCACTTTATTATGCATCAAATGGTTCAAACCTACCCGTGTTCCTTTTGGATAGGAATCCATGTTCAAAAATCTCTAAAATCCACGTCTGTAACTCAGAGTCCTTCTGAACTTCAAGATCATTCTTGTAATAATAGCCAAGGACTCTCTGCACAAACCTATAGCAAAAAAAAAAAAAAAAAAATTGTCAAAAAATTTATCGACTTCATTCCTAAAAATACATCTTTTCCCAATGTATGCCTCATCACTTCCTGTTCTCAAAGCAAGTGCACACTTTTCCAACCCTGTCCTGCCTGCTGCTCTCCATCCTGTCAGTCTGTCTGGAGCGCTCCTCTTCATTAGTCTCTGGATTTTTTTAACCATGGATCTGGTCAGATGGTCTCTAAAGACAACTGATAAAATTGACTTAACGTTTGGTAAGGGTAAGGGAGCGCCTTTCTGCCCCGACAGAAAGCACATGGTTGAATACGTAATGGATTACTTAAAGGGGCTTTACGGAGTTTTGAATTTTTATGCTCGCGATTGCCCCCTCAGGCCAAAAGCATAACGGCAGCTTCAATAGTAGGCTCGTGCACGAGGTGTGCATGCTGTACGTGCACACTCCTTAACGAAAATAACTGTCAAACTTCCATAATGCCCCTTTAAGTGAGTGGTAGATTGTAAGTTGCTGTCCATGAAGGACGTAGAAGATAATTATGTAATTAGATTCATGATAAACGGGTTTTTGCTGTTTGGAGCAGGTGAGTTCCTGGTGTATTGGAATATTCTGAAGTTGTTGGGAGCAATTGCCAAGTTTTGAGCTCAATGAAGGGATGTGTTGTGCTGTAAATCTGACTCATGCTTTACACAAGCTGGATCATAAGCTGGTTGCTCTGAGCAGAAAAAATGGCTGTGGTTTCAGAACTTGCAAGCGAAATGGAAAACCGCTTGGCTCGGCTTGGTGGAAATGGATCCCCTGATTGGTCCGTTTGGAGTTCCCTGGAGTCGCCTCAAGACCGCAGGAGGACATAAGGCAGAGGGGAAAAAAATCTCTGGACTGTTCCAATCCAATTGCCGTTATCTGAATTTGGCTCCCCAATGTCGGCCTTGAAGGCTGAAGAATTTCAAACCCCCATGGAGATGGATACAAATAGATACTCTGCTCCCTCCCACACCAGTTTCATACATGGGCCTGTAAACATCAGTTTGCAAGAAGTCTTTATTACATCCTAGACGACGGACACTTGACTGAACTGGGAGAAAGATCATTGACTCAATACTGACGCAACACACATGCATCAGTACACAACATTTCACAGACACCCACACACCCTCCCATGGTTTCAATGTGCTCCTCCTCCCCTGAACTCTTCCAACTCCTGGGCAGTGGAGGCTGAAGGCCACATTGGGTAGCTACCTACTCTTGTATGAGAAATGCCTGCCCCTCCCACACGTTCAATTAAGTTGCGACTACCTTAATATGTGTGTATTTAAGTTTGAGGTGATTTTCTTGTACCCCAGCTCTGTCCTCTGTTGGGGATGTTTCTCTCATCTCGTTCCTCCCCCTTATATCCAGTTTCTTTTATCGGAGTGCTGTAGTGACTGCATACCCACAGTCAGCCTGTTCTTGTTCACGTGTGTTATATGCTGTATGCCTGCTCATGGAAAGGTTATACTGAAACCTTGTTTCATTGTACTGGGACACTGGTTCAATGACAAATAAAGTGACTCTGTATAATTCTATGTACCTGGCCTGTATTCTTGGCATAGTACAAATACATCAGTGAAAACAACTTGAAATATATCCTATATATCCTAAAGTGAACCCAAAATTAAAGCTTTTTTGAGAAAAGTTTAAGGTCTAAAACTGTTAACGGTTTTCTAGAGCACTTGGTTCAATGTAGAAAATTTAAAAGTTGCAAATAAAACATTACAAGGCATCTTAAGAGTTCAAAAGCAGTTTGGTTTAAAGGAATCAAGCACCAAAAACAAATTATTTAGCCAATTTTTGTGTAAAATTTTCTAAGATTTAGACATGCATCATATTGACAAACATAATACAAAATGTGAACATTTCAATGAGATTTAGAAAAGGTCCGAATAGGAACTTTACCGGTGGATAACATCCCAGAGTCTGAGTCCATCATCTCTGTAGTAGAAGTTTGGTATGGCTTCCAGCCCACGGTCCTTAATGTCCTCAGGTATACAGAGAGACCTGTACGTCACAGAGGACAGTGATCTCCTCAGGATGGTTATCATACCCTCGCCACCAGAAGATGAAAACTAAAGAAATGTAGCAAATGTTAAAAAGAAACAGATTAAAAGATACAAGACGTCAAATGCTTCATCATACCAGAGTGAAAACACCTTCCTTTGATATTAGTCTCAATCGAGCCAAGAAGTTGATCTGCAGCGTGTAGCGAGTGTGAGGGAGGAGAAGCTGATGAGAAAGAGAGAAGTGTTAGAAACACAAGAGTAGCTTTCAGGTTTTTTTCTGGATGTTGCTGCAGTTTCAGAAGACTGAGAAGTTCATGCTCTGGGGACACTTACCTTGTACAGAGGATGCACCATGGGCAGGTTACGCAGCAGTGACACGGCAAAAACCTCAGCCAGCAGGTGAGTGCGCATCAGGTGAACGTTGAGTTGATGCTCACTGAAATCTGCACTCCTCACAAAAATCTTCGCCAGCAACCAGTCGTACTCGGAATCAGTCGGTAAGAAGATCGGGTTGTCTGCTGCCGGCTGCTGCTTCAGCTACAACAGATGTACAGTTTTATGTGAAGAGCGCTTTTGCTGACAACACATTTTTAATTACGGGCTGGATATGAAACTGAAAAGGTTCTTTTGATGACAGTTTGCTTTTCATACAGATTTTTCTAAGAGCAGTTTTTATTTTTTAGTACAATAGTCCGACTCTGCATGAGGCTTAACAGTCTTGTCTAGCAGCTTCAACAGCCTAGACACGTTCACTTTTGTGGATCTTTTCTTGTAACTGACAAATTTAAATCTTATGGTTTGCAGTAAAGTTCCAGAAACCCAGAAACCCAGTCTCACTTGAATTGCAATCGGCATCATTTTGTCATCTGGCGTCTTTTGGAGCAGGACGAGCGGAGCCATCAAGTACTGCTGTTTCCCGTTGACGATGTTCGCCTGAACTCCGTCCATGTTCTTGTAGTCGCACAAGAAAATGTGGCCTTTCTGTTGGAATGTTTAAAAAATAAGAATTTGACATTTTATAAACACTTATACAATTCATAACAGAAACTCACCTGCATTTCCTCAGCTAGACTAGCCTGACCATCAGGGAAGACCATGCTGTCGGTCACAGGGAAGTTACTGGGCAGGGCTGTGCAGCGTCTGATCATTATGGGATTGACACCGTTCAGAAACTGGAAGCCAAAAAAAGCATCCTCCTTCCAGTGTTCTTGGACATACTCTGTAGAAACACAAGTGTAATTTAACTCTTGTGCTGCAACTGCACATGGAGACAAATAGTGAAACAGAAGGAATTTGGCTTCATGTTTCAAATAAATTATTTCACTTAAAGATGAAAACTTTGATCTCCGTAGATCTCTGTTAAAAAATGTAAATCATACACAAGTGGAACCAATAGCCAATGACCTTAATGCCATGGCTTATTTGTGTACTTCACATTATACAGTTAGCCAGGTTACAGTACCGGACATGCTGGTCTTTTTGCAGCAGAACACCCTGTTGATGTCATCAAGATGAGTCCAGCTCTTTTTGCTGTCAGCCAGACCCTTCAGTTTCAGCTCAGTCAGCCTACAGGATAAAACGCATGAAATCTATTTCATCATTAAATAACAGGTCAAAATAAGTGCAGATCAAGATACCCACAATGCATCATGAGTATGTTCATGCAGTTGCTGGAGGAGCAAGTTAAACAAATCTCAGAAGATTAGTTGATAAATTTGACAAAGCCTTTTAGGGTAAAAGACAAAGTTGTATAAACAAGTTAGAAGTTGTTTGAATGTGTGAAAACAAAAATTATATTTACTTAAAGTTTACTGTTTTGTACAGATTTTAAATTAGCCACAATTAAAATCATCTAGATGTCCCCAAGCAGCTGATGATGTTTCATTTGGAGCCTTAAGTTTAAATAGACCTGAGAAATATATCCTTTTAAATGTTGTAGTACAACTACAAAAGGTCAAGGCCAGAGGTGGAAAGTAACAAATTACATTTACTCACATTACTGTAATTGAGTAGCTTTTTTGTGTAATTATACTTTAAGTCGTTTTCAAAATCTGTACTTTTACTTGAGTAGGTTTTAAAAAAGAATTGTAATTTGCTACATTTTAAATCATATCCGTTACGGAGTAAAAATAAATTATAGGCTTAATAAATTAAAACTATTACGTGTAGCAGCGTCGGAACAGAAAGAGACACCTGCATGGGCACCACGTCTAAACCGTGGGGGGGGGGTGCACCATTGATTGTGAGGACAAAGCCATTTTTACCGCAGTTTTGCTCAAAAACATCAGTTCGGTCCCTGTGATCCACTTGGTGATTACCTCCTCCCTGTGGGTTGGAACCCGCACCTTCACGCACCGGTGTTACATCAGAATTCTGCTCGGTTCAGTAGCTGGACTCGGTTCAGTGTTTGGAACGTGTTTCTCTACCGCGCCGCACGGAAGTGGCAAAATAACGTTTAGCGCTCATAAGCGGATTCTCAGCACTTTGCTCATAAAACAGAAGACCTGCAGGCCTCTGGGAGTTAAAACATCCTGATACTGTTCAGTTGTAAACATTGTGCTCCATCCCTGTGTTTGAACTCAGAAGATGCTTCTTGATGCCACAGATGTGAGATGATTTAGATGGTTTCTTTATTTTTCTCCAGAACAAGAGATTAAAGTATTACAAAAGCAGTTAGTCATTCAAACGATTCTAAAATGCGGCTGTGTGTGTGTGTGTGTGTGTGTGTGTGTGTGTGTGTGTGTGTGTGTGTGTGTGTGTGTGTGTGTGTGTGTCTGCGCGCACACACACACAAGCGAACTGTGATCTGGCATTGTGATTTTGCACTACTTAGATGTAGCCATCCTTACGCTGACAAAAATGTAACCAAGTAACTTTTACTTTGAGTACATTTATGATACTTTTTACTTTTACTTGAGTAAAAAATTATCAAATTATTGGTACTCTTACTTAAGTAGGACATTTTAGTACTCTTTCCACCTCTGGTCAAGACCTCAAAGTATTAATCCTGGAACTTCTCAAAGTCAGGTGTAGGCTGCTGTGGTTTATCTCTACGGCTGTTATTTGCTGCACCTCCATGTAAAACAGCCAGTAGGCAGGAATGAGGCAGAATTATCAGGAACTCACCCTGCTGATGCCGTGAAGAGAAACTCCTTCTCTTTGGTGAAGGAAAAGCGGACCTCACATGGCAACGACTGCGGGCTGTCTGACTTCATGCAGTGAGGAATTCCTTCTACATAAACGTTCCAGCTGGGAAAAAAATAATTTAGTCTCTTGTTCTTTTATTCCAATAAAGTCCAAATCTTACTTTTTTTTTTTAGAGTGCAGGAGGTTTACATCATTGTGAGTGTTGGTAAAACGTAGACAGCTCTCACCAATAGTCTTTGTGACGCTGCAGAAGCTCCTGCTCTCGACTATACTGGCCAAGCCTGTGGAGGTCTTCAAAGACTCTTAGAGCTGGAAAAGAGGAGAAAGGAAGATTTAGAAGTGATGATGAGGAACACTGGGATGAAACTGGTGTCAAGTGCAGCTCCACCGACCTGTTCCCTCTCTGAAGAGATACGTCTTACTGTCAGTGATCCAGCGGTAGATTGGAAAGGTAAATGAGTCTCCCTCGGGGGATCGGACTTCCACTTTGGCAGGAAACCAGGAGTCTGCTGGGAACAGCGGGAGAGGCTGTTTGTCCACCTCAATCATCACCAGTTTCCCAATCGAGCTGGGGCAGGACACAGTAAAACTTGCCTCCTATAAAAATTTAGAAAATATTCAGTCACACTGAAATTGTTTAGAGTTTGTGAAATAAAAACTTTAAAGAGTTTCTCACATCCTGTTGCTGTAAATGATCTTAGACTTACAGCGCCTCTGACGAAGGCTGAAGCTTTTCTCAGGCTTATGAGCAGCTTGCGTTCACTTTCTCCATCTGTTCCCACCAGCTTAATGAAGACATTGTTTAAGGTGGTGGCACTGACCCGATCAGAGGTGAACACGGTCACTTCATATTTCATCATTTTCATTCGTGATAGATCCTGGTAAATGAAGGGAGACGATCAGCAGCGGTGATTTGAGGCATTGGATGGTGGGTACAATTAGCAGCATTGAGGCCCTTTTGAAGTCCTTACCTCTGCTGAAGAAAGTTCCAAAGTTCCTCTGAAAAGCGACCTTGTTTGAATCACCTCAGCTCTGGTTTGTGTATATATACAGGGTTGTAGGAGTGTCCTCGTGATGCCAATGAATAGGTTTGTTGATGAAACTTCCCTAAAGGCACATTGGTATGTTTAGATTGGAAAGCTGGCCATTTCTGATATTTTATCACTACAATCTGAACGAATGCGTTACAAAGAAAAGATGAAAAGAAGAATAGTTATCACAAATCATGAAGTGTGGGACCAAAAATGCAGCAAAGAAGTTTCAGGATCTTAATACTTTCAAACGCCAAGACTAAAGGAAAAAGAGGAACTCATAAGCCTGCAGGATAAACACACAGGGTGTGTTGAAACCTTGAGAAAGAAAAATCAGGGAGTAAATATTCTGAGTGGGGATTACTGAGTGAGGACAGGTGTGCTGATTACAAACGAAAACATCTGGGTGTGGGGATGGGAGGAGGGACAACAGAGAACATCATGGCCTGAAAAACTTATCGAAGCTTCCCAGGCAACTGTGTTAATTGTTGTCTTCACATTCTCGTTTTCTCTACATGAAATGATGCCAACAGAAGTGTTAGTCTTATGTGACCCCTCATTTACACCAGGTGTTGAATGTGAAGTGAAAAATGGGTCAAGTGTGACGTTTTGCTAGAACCCGTTCTGGATTACACCTTTGTGTGGAAGTCTCATACCAGCCTCTGCAGCTCCCGGGTCTCCTGAACCACGGCTGAATCCTCCCTGGCTCTGTTCTCCTACCGTGCGTCTCCTGTTCACCCTCCAACAACCCGCCTCACTGCTCCGAACCTCCACATCTACCCTCAGCCCCGGTACCGGCTCACCTCTCCCACGCTCCGCTACAACCAAATCTCAGTAAGAACTCTCCCCACTATCTACATAAATATCTCCCCGTCCCGATCATCATTTCATGTGTTATTTCTTCCAGTGATCCAATCTCTAGCTCCGGAACCAGCCCATCCCTGCCTCCGCTCTCTAATAAACTTTTTAATACATCTCCTGGTCTCTTGAGAGTCATCTTGTATGTGGGTCAAATATCTAAATAGAGAAAAAACCATGATAGAGTCGTTCAGAACAATAACAGCAAGATGGCAAACAGCCACACTTCCTCTAATGCCAGAGGCATACTACCGAAAAACACCCTGGAGTGCTAACACCAGATATGTCAATGTTCTTCAGAGGTGTGACCAAGTCACTGCTTTGCGAGTCACAAGTAAGTCACAAGTCTTTCCAGTCAAGTATTGAGTCAAGTCAAAGACAACCGAGTCCAAGTCGAGTCCAAAGTCAATGATGCGGAAGTCCAAGTCCTTAACTTTGAATTTTCAAGTCATAATCAACTCATCTGTCCAACTTCAATTTAATGACAATGATAATAAATAAATTCCAGAAATAAAGCTTCTTAAAGCTTCATTTATTTGCTCAAACAAGCAGGAAGTGCAACTGAAACTGATTATAAACAAAGTGCTGCAGCATGTAGCAGAACAAAATCAAACCCAGAGCGAAGAATTAGTTAAGATTTTGGTCCATGTCGTGCCACTTTTCTGCTAAAGTATCAAATATGCTCAAGTCATCATCAAGTCAACAGATGCAAGTCGATTCAAGTCGCAAGTCATTGGCATTCAAATCCGAGTCGTTAGTCTTTATAGATTTTATCGAGTCAAGTCAGAAGTCATTAAAATAGTGACTCGAGTCCAAGTCATGTGACTCAAGTCCACACCTCTGATTTTCATCTACTTATCATGTATGACTCGCATTCGCTCGTTGTCTACCATCTTCTGGAGCTAACCCATAACTGGCAACAGCCATTAAACTCACTAAAAAGTAGTAAGATTGCAACCTTTTGTTTAGAAAAGCAGGTTGCAGTAACCAAATTTGACCACAGGATGTCATTCTTACTTCATTTTTACATATTGCACCTCTTTTTGGGGGTGACGGTGGCACAGGAGTTAAGTGCTTGTGTCGTAATCAGGAGGTTGCAGGTTCGAGCCCTGCTCAGTTTGTCACTATCATTGTGTCCTTAGGCAATACACTTAACCCCCTTGCCTGCTGATGGTGGTCGGAGGGACCAGTGGCGCCATTGCACCCTAGAGCAGCTGTGGCTACATCGTAGTTCATCCCCACCAGGGTGTGAATGTGTTTGTGAATGGGTGAATGACTGATTGTGTTCTAAAGTGCCTTGGAGTGTTCCAGGGCTCTGGAAGGCACTATATCAAATGCAGGCCATTTACCATTTAACACGAAAATTCTACATTTGTCCTAAAACCAATGACTAAAATGGAGCCGTGCTTGTTGGTGGAAGGAACAGAAGTAAGTTTGTCTCCAAAGACAAACGGAAGTTCATGACAGAGACAACAAGAAGGGAAAGTTTCATGTCTGTTAGTGGTTTTCTGCACTCTGCCCTCACATGAGACGTTCTTCCTGCACTTAAAAATGTGTGTGTGTTTTTTCTCCCCTTTAGATTAAATCAGTTTTTGGTATTTGACATAATTTTTTTCCTCGCCTGTGTCCTTGGCAGTCTCATCTCTACCAGAGGCTAAACCATAAGATTAATCGAATAACAGTTGGCTCAACAAAACCTTCTCAGTGGCCTGGTGGTACTGGGCCATTCCCATCTGTACCTGGTCGGCCCTGCCCGGATAGCTCCAGTCGGCACCAGCCTGGCCTGGTTGATTCCACACATATCCTTGCTTAGGTATGCAAGGAATGCAGTCAGAGACATTTTCAGCTTCTAGGTAATCAGCATGATAATGAATTGAGCATGCCTTAAGCCCATGTGGGCTGATTCTACCCACCAATCAGAGGCTTGCTCTAATGGAAGGTGTGAATTTGCTGTCAGCAGTGGGTGTGTTAGCCCTGGTCAGCCTGAAGCAGACCCCCTCAGAAAGAGGGCTGAAAAACAGTCTCGTTGCACCCTGAAAGAAGGCAGCCCACCAAGATATGTAAGCAAACTATGCTGTCCGGGCAGGGCCGACCAGGTACAGATGGGAATGGTCCAAAGTGTCCACCCTTGGCCTGGGAGATCAGGGCTGAAATCTGGTTGAGTCGTACCAAAGACTTTAAAATGGGACCCAACGCCTCCCTGCTTGACACTTAACTTTAACAGGTTGAATTGGGGTTTTAAACCACCAAATAGTTCCTGAGCACAGCCTGCAGGTCATCAGTTTTTCTTCTGCAAATTGTAATGAAACATAATGAAACATACCTGGCTCTCTTGTGCTGGATTCACCTGAGAAATAACACAATGATACAACATTAGTTTCAGCAATGAAGAAATACCTGGATGTGTAATGCAGTAACCGACCGCCTCACAGGTCTCCAGAGACAACGACTGGATTTACACGAGTAGATAAAAAGACCCGTCCTGAAACTGAACCCACAGCAGCTAGTTTTAAACCACAGTTTAAAAGAGTTCTCTGTGAAGTTTAGGTGCAGAGGCTGTTTCCAGGTGACCAGTCCGAAACCTCCAGAAGAAATGACACCACACACCGATGTCACAAAAGCTCTTTTGAAATAAATGAGTTAACCCTCTGGAGGCAGGCGCTGCAGCTTTGCAGCGTTAAAACCTGCCTACCTGGTTACTCCACATACGTATTTCATGAGCACATTTTAACTCAGAAGTACCCCTGAAGGACTTAGTTGTTCGCCCTTTTATCAAAACTTGTTTTGAGCCAGAGAGGGTTACATTCTTTAAAGATTCTTGTCTTTAGAGACACCAGCTCTGTATGAGGACTGAATCCCAGTCCTCTGCTTGATTTGTTTTTGCTTCCAGTGAAAGAGAGAAATTTCAAAAGCAAAGCCAGCATATATTTTCCTGTCATGTCTGTCTTTTATCCTCCTGCAACTCCTCTCAGTTCTCCAGAAAAACTGCTTCCTGAATTTCTTACTTTTTTACGTCACAAGCTACTTTTTACCTGAGTACTTCAGGGATCGGCCCGCCACAAAATTAGCGAAATGCGCACTCGCAGCGGTGAGGCCAACTCACCGGGGCCACAGGTTCTGAACTCCACTGAGGCAGAGTGCGTCAGGCACGAATAAAAGAGAAAGAAGCAGAGAATATCAGTGACAATGAACAATTGCGTGTTTATTGTTTTCTTTTGGTGGTGTGACTTGGAGAATGCTACTGAGTGCGGTGTGTGCAGAAAGCAGCCGAGAGCGCATGAACGATCAGCGGTCTCTCTCTCACCCTCCACTCAAAAGAAGTCCTGGAGACGGAAACTGTTCCTTTTTTTTCGGGCTCTGCATAATTAAAACCCTGAAGAAAACCCACCCCTTTATTCCGGGTTAAAAAGGCATTCTAACGCGTGTTCCTGATATGTACCGGGTAAAATATTACCGATTTATTTTTCTGTAATGTCTTACATTACTGCATTACAGAAAAAATACATGACAGCTTGTAATTACTTGTGTAACGTGTTACTCCCAACACTGTTATTTAATCAATGCAGTGGTCTGAAGAATGAAGTAAGTCAAACTCTGAGCCACATCAGAGGTGAGTTTCAGACAACAGGATTTGGAGTCTTATTTCCTGATATTTGGTCATCTCGCCTTGGATTGGCTAACAGCAACATGACTCTACCACTGACTCTGTTCTGCGAAGCTAATGTTGATGTTTTATCTCCACAACTAACACAAGACTGGAGGTGTTCTGCCGTGTGGTAGAGTTGCTAATGCTAACAGTTAGCTTCTACTAGTTGAGACATTCTCTGCTGTTAGCTGGAGGATAAACCAACAACAGCCTTCCCTAGTAACTTAGGTTACTATGTTCCACAGGGGACATTGTTGGTGCATTGCTGAAACGTCACACTACAACGTCCTCCAAAAGTTGCTTTACAACTTCTGTTAAATGTCCTCTCTGTAACTTATTCGGCACTTTGAATAACAACGTTGCTGCTACATTGTTACAACGTGATAACTGCAGTTCCAGAATGAATGAAATTCAAGAGAGATTTATCATCAAATTAGATTTTCAGCTTGACCATATTGTGATTCTAATCTGGATTTTGTTAAAATTAAAAATGTTTTCCTCAACACACATGAAAAATATCACTCAAAGATATAATTTATTTTGGTCTTTTAATGCTTTGTTTTTTATTATTATTAGAGTTTTGACAATAATTAAATAAACAATTAGTAGTTGCAGTACTTGAATCATGTTTATAGCTAAAATGTCTTTCTAATTAAAAAATAAATAAATAATAATAATGAATTGAACATATATAGCGCTTTTCTTGTCACCCAAAGACGCTTTTCACACACTCTCACATTCACACACTGCTAGTGATGGTAAGCTACTTGTAGCCACAGCCGCCCTGGGGAGGTCTGACAGAGGCGGGGCTGCCATTTGGCGCTGTTGGCCCCTCTGACCACCACTAACACAGGCAAGTTGGGTGAAGTGTCTTGCCCAAGGACACAACAGCAGGATACCCCTGGCGGGAGCTGGAATCGAACCCAGACTAGTGTCAGTGACTTGATGCAATCCTCATACTAAGCAAGCATATAGCGACGGTGGAGAGGAAAACTCCCTTTTAACGGGAAGAAACCTCCAGAGGACCGTGGCTCAGTATAAGCAGCCATCCACCATGATTCACTGGGGATCGAGAAGACAGAGCAGACACACACACACACACACACACACACACACACACACACACACACACACACACACACACACACACACACACACACACACACACACACACAAACAAACAAACAAACAAACAAACACACACACACACACACCAAGCAATGTGTCCATGGTTACACCGTGATTACTTAGTAAATATTCTATTTGGTGAGAGATAAACTTTATTGTATTTATCCTAGTGAATCTATAATTAAACAGATAAACTAGTAGTAGCACATCCAACGTCAAGTAAAGCAAAAAGTTATTATTAGGAGAGGGAGAATGTTTAAGTGGTTAGCAGCAGTGTGCTAGACGATGGCCCCCTCCATGAGGCCACCACAGCTCAGCAGAACGTCGTTGTAGCTTCTTCTGGGGAGAAAAACACTTAGAGAGAAAATAACGTTAACAGCTGAAACAGCAGGAAATAATACAGTTAAAGAGCAGATTGTAGAAGAAAGTGGTAGAGTGTGAAAAGTGGTCAGTGTGTCCTCCAGCAGTCTAAGCCTATAGCAGCATAACTACAGAGATAACTCTGGATAACCTAGCCTTTTAGATGGAGGCATGTTGGAGGCAGGGCAAGTTCTGAATATTCAGGAATGTTTGAGGAGGAGCTGCTACTCAGATTCTTGAATGAGGATGGACATTGTGTGACATCAGTATAGACAAGGATTGCATTTAAATCATATCCTGTATACTGTCCTATATACCCTTTGTTACCTTTCAGAAAACCACCAACAAAGAAAGGTACATGTTGTGCAAGAGGGGACTGATGATGATGATGAAGGTGTGTGTGTGTGTGTGTGTTGTTGTTGTTGTTGTTTACAAAGTGTGTAAATAAAACTACAAATAAAACAATTTAAAAAATAAAAACTGATATCTGGTGGCTTCTATAACTGCATATTTAATTTGTAGTGAATATTTTTAAAATGTTTAGGTTTCACTGGCTTAAATCCCTATGTTACAACAGCCTGCCCTCACAGCCCTCCAATTTTTTGTTTTTGTTAGTATTTGGAGTTTTGACAATAATTAAGTTAACCATTATTCCACATTCATGGCTAAAACTGTTTTTCTATCAAAAATATTTGATATATTTTTTTAAACTTTGTTTACTGAAAAACTCATTTTTGCTGTTTACAAATGTTTACTTTCTAAAATCCACCAGCAAAGAAATGTAAGCTAATTTACATGTTACTGCCCTCACAGCCCTCCAATGGAATGGCTTGTTGTAACAACCCTGAAGATCAACCAATTACTGACTGATGTTCCAGCCAGTTCTCTGATTTGTTATGGTCATCACGTGTTCCACGACCATCTTCCAATCAGCTTAATCTGCCTCTGTTTTTGTTCTTATTTTATCCCATGTTTTTTTCCACAAAATTCTTTTCCAGCTGCTCTTTGCTGTTTGGCGTCTGATTTATTCGTCAACCACTCACTCTTTAGTTCGCTTGCTTCAGGTTAAGTAAAAGTTAAGTCAATCTGTCCTTTCATCTCTTTCATCCAAGCCACACGGAGATGTGCAATGTATGGAAAACAATCTGAACATGTTGACACCCAGCAGAGGTCATATGGACAAAATCCGCAAAACATAGGCTATATAAATATAGAATATCAACCTGCTTGGTCTTTGGATGTTTAATCAGAAGATTATAGGATTCTTTGCTCTACCAGGGATCAAACACACTTCATATCGAGACTCCCTTTCAGATCCGAGATGTCGTGGGGGTCGGGTGACCCCAAGGTACCGAAGTTCGTAGAAAAGACTGCAGTACGACCAGGTCGATCCAGAGTCGTCTCCCGGATCGCAACATTTAGATGAAATCGTTTGCGTCTAGAACAGCAGTTCCTGAATAGCTGAAGGAACCGTTTTGCTGTGTCAGCTGTAGGCAGCTTTTAGCTTGTCGAAAGCTTGTCAAGAGGCGCGGTGACTAGAGAGTTTTCCTCCGATGGCCAGTCAGAGTTAGCTCACTAACAGAATGCTGAATCTCACAGAATGCTGGAATGATGATTCACTCCGCAAGTGACTCTGTTTTAATATTCTCATATTATGATTTTCTTGGCCAATCGGGACGTGCCATGTTAAGAAGTGTTAACAACAAACCTCAGAACATCACGCCTCTTTCAGATACAGAATGCTCTGATTTGTGGGTAAGAAGATCTACGTGCAGAAATTACTTTAACTTTAATTTATCTCTAATGGACATTGTGTCTGAGTGTAGATAATGATTCACTTGTTAAACCAAACATTACTTATCATATATCAATCTTTCATTGTAATAATAATATTCATTTCAACTTCAGTAATTCAAGCACAGTTTAATCAACCTTATTAATTTAAGCACAGATTAATGAAAACATTATTATTATTCATCAACCATTATTGTTCATTCAACCATATGATTATTTACTATTATAACGGTTCAGTCCTTTATTCTGTGCAGGACAGCCTAGATAAGCAGACAGGCTTGGCAGAGAAGAACCTTGAGAAGGGAGCATGATGTTGACAATCTGAGTGTAAACACGCAGTGTCGAATCTCTTCCTGTAGCTTGGAAGATTAAGAGACGCTCAGAGGCAGATTCATGTCTGTAGATGACCGGTGGCATGTAGGTCAATGTGTAGGTGAAAACTGACCATTTCTGGACGTTACATAAGGAAGTAAGTTTGGCTCCACAGACAAACGGAAGTTCATGACAGAGTCAGCAAGAAGAGAAAGTTTCACGTCTGTTAGCGGGTTTCTGCACTCTGCCCTCACACAAGACTTTCTTCCTACACTTGTGTCTCCCCCTTTCTGGATTAAATAGTTTTTTTGGTATTCGACATTATTTAATTCCTCACCTGTGTCCTCGGCAGTCCCATAACTACCAGTGGCT